CCACGAAGCATAATCCCTGCGCGTGTTTGTGTGGAGCTGAACATTAGAGTCGTCGATCTCTTCTTATTTTTCACTTTTCTAAATGCAGAGTCAGCAGAAGATGCGTTAGATCTTTTTTTTTCTTCATCAACCGCTAAAAAAGGCCAAAATAGACGAAATGGAGTAAGAAAATATTGTGGGTGTTTGTGGTCCAAGTGTGTGTGTGTGTGTGTGAGTGAGTGTGTGTGTGTGTGTAAAAGAGAGGCATTGATTTTTTCCTGTAATACTGCACTGAAACAATAAAACTTAGACATTTTTACATTTCTGCCCTGCCTGCACTGACGCGTGCTAATCTGTACTTTAATCACACACACACGCGCACACACACATATTATTTATTGGTTTGCTGCTCATTGATTTTAGGTCAGGTGTTGTGGAGTATCGTGTTTGTGTTTGTGTGTGTGTGTGTGTGTGTGTGTGTGTACACCTGAATCAATGCCGATGTCCAGGCATTTTTCCAAACACAAAAATATGTGAATTATCATATTCAGGTTTAGAATGGGAGCCTTCACAGGAGTCCTAGTCCTGGTTCTATCACAGGTATCAGTCAGTGAGACAGTCAGTGAGTCAGTCAGTGAGTCAGTGTCAGTGTCAGTAATTGTAATGTCAGTGACCTATAAGTGATCAATTGTGTCCATTGATTTTTTTTTTGAATCTTTGTGTTACACCACAGATGCAACTTTCATCTAATTATTGTTACTTTACTATATCACCAACATCATCATCATCTTCATCATCATCTTCATCATCATCATCATCATCATCATCATCATCATCATCACCTCTCGCTCATTTTTCTTTTGTCAGTCTCTCTCTCTCTCTCCCTCTCTCTCTCCCTCTCTCTCTCCCTCTCTCTTTTCCTCACTCTTTTCCTCCCTCGTCCTCTCTCCCTCCCTCTCTCTGAACAAATTAAAACCCTAATTTCCACATTTTTTTTATTTATTTGAGAGGCAGGGAAAAAAACCACGGGAAAGCCGTCTCTTAAGCTGCAGAGTGTGTGCGTGTGCTCTCCCCCACCTCTTCCTCTCCATCTCCTCCTGCTCCTCCTCCTCTCGGTCCTCCTCTCATTTCGCATGGTGCGCGCCTGCTCTGCGCACCGCTGCCGACACTTTCTCTTCTTTTCCTCCTTCTTCTTCTCATTTTTCTTCCCGATCTTCAATTTAAAAAGAGACAACCGAGAAGAAGAGGCTCCCCAACTTCTCCTCCTCCTCCTCATTATCATTACCATCATAATCATCACCGTCATTATCATCATTTCTGCCTCAGTGGGAATAAACGCGACTCTCATCTGAGGCTGAGGAGGAAACACGGACCGTGCGTCTCTGCAGCGCAGCCTCAGACATTTTCACATTTTTTTCATTTTATTTTATGTTATTTGAGGAAAGATTTTGAAGCAAATATTTAAAACGAGCGGCGCGTGAAGAAGAAGTTTGTTTGTTTGTTTTCTTGTTGTTCTGGTGAAAGAAAAACGAAATAAAGATGACAGCGGAGATGGATCAACGGAGACGCACAGGTAAGACCCGAGACAGTGTGTATGCGTGTGTGTGTGTGTGTGTGTTGGCGCGCTTAGAATCACATCTCCCAAAAAGTCCTTTAAATGTTCCATGAAAGTTTTTTGTATTAATATTAAGAACTGCATCAGCAGGATTTGAGCTCAAACATTAACAGTTGTTTTTTTTTAAATACATAAGTTATTTTTTCCAAATATAACTTCAGACTAATTTACCTAATGTACAGTATCTTTGAGGGAAATTTGCGAAAGTTGTAGTTTTTGTGGGGGCATTTTAAAGTTCTCAACCAGACAATGATGTCTTCAAACAACCGTTGTTCTGGTCATCCTTCGTCAGTCTGTGGTCTGAAGGTTCAGTGAAGATCAACAAACGTCAGAACGTGTTCACACTGACCAACAATAGTTCATCATCAATCAGCAGTCACAATGTTCATTTGTATGGATTGGAAATTTCTGGTTTGCAGTTAAAAAAAAAAAGATTTCAGGTTTGATTCACGGATCAAATAGTCAGGGTTGAAGTTCAGAATCCTTAGATGTTTGGTTCGGAGTCCAAGTGAAGACATGTCTAAACTTTCAAACTGAATTGTGACCAAAAAATACAAAAAACGACTCTAAGTCCTTCTTGATAAAAAAGAAAAAGAAAAAAAATGAATCCTGACTTTTTGAGCTAAGATGAACTGGAATCAAACCAGGAATCAAGGGTTGAATCTGCAGTCTTCAAACTGTGCTGGTTTCCTTGTCTTAGAATCACAGCAGACGTTGGTAATGGTGATGATGATGATGATGGTGGTGGTGATGATGGTGGTGATGATGATGATGACGACTATGATGATGGTGACGATGATGACGGTGGTGAAGAACCCATTGGTCTTTACAGTTGGCACCTTCACCAAGACACTGTTTAATTTTCAAATAATTCTGTCCTAATATCTATTATTTCTGTTGCGCATGTGTGCATGCATGCGTGGGTGTGTGTCTGTTTATGCCATTCCAAAAAAAAACACAGTTCAGCTGCTCCAAAGAAAATATAACTTCTATGTGAAATTTCCCAGAATGTATTTTTCTCCTGCACCTGATCTGAAAACGTGTGTTTCATTTAAAAACCTGAACCATCCAGGGAGGAATTTGTGCTGCCGACGTCACTATTTATGCCTTAGCTACGTACAGTATATCTCTGTATCTCAAACACACACACCCTGTAAACCAGAACACACACACTACACACACACACACACTGGTCCCTCCTTGTAAAACAAGCAGGAACCAGAGTGTGTGTTAGACCCGTTTCCTCTGGGGACTGTAAAGGAAGAGCACCTTGGGCAGAAACAGGAAGTTGACCTGCACCTCAGATTTCTGTGACCCTAAACACAAAAATAAAATAAAATAAACATGACTATAATTTTTTGGCTGCTTAAGTCAAATTTTTTTATATATTCATTGTTTTACGACGGGAGATTAAACTTTGGTGAACTCTGGAGATTTTGAACTTTTGATTCTAACTGAATGCCAATGAACACACACTTTAACAAACAGTTCACGTCAGAGCGAATGTTCTCCAACCAGAGTCAAGTCTGTAAAGAAAAGTCAAAATCTCAGTCAGGGTTGAAATGACGCCGTCTGCCTTGATGAAAACTTTATTTTGAATCTTGGTTCTAAAAGACTGGGTTTGGACCCACTCTGGGTCGTCACGTCGGATTATGTTATTAATTTAACAAAGGTCTCCTCGGTTCACTACTGCACACATCGGTGAAACTGTCAGGGTAGAAGACGAGGGGGGAAAGTTTTTATAATTATAATTTAAAAAAAACTGTCAATAAAATATGTTTTTAATACCTGATTATTTCTTCTATGGAGAGAAGTGTGATAAATATCAGATGTTGTGTCATGTTATCGTCAATCATTCATTCTAAACGGTTCCCCATTTGAATGAAGGCGTCAGATAAAAAAAAATTAGAGGTGACACGAACACCTGAACGATGAAGAAGCCAAAACATGTGAAATATGTGTGTCTTAGTGAGTTTATCTACGATGATCATGTGACACAGACACAAACAGACAAACAGTGGGGAATGATGGGAGAACTGTGAACGCTTCCTTCACTTAATGTTAAAACCAACATCAACCGTTTATACATGAGAAATATTCCCATCTGATTACAAATAACCAATTAAACTTCAGAAAATACACTTACGTTTTAAAAAACACATGCATTTAGGAACGCACTTGTATTTTAAGAAACATACTTATATTTCATAAAACACGAATATACGTTTTAAAAGCATTAAATAATACACACTTAAATGTATTAAAACACACTTAAATTGTAGAAAACACTGTTTAAGCTAAGAAATAAGCACATATTTTAGAAAAAACACTGTTTATTTAAAATGTGCTTAAAATAAAAAATCACTCACTTATATTATATATTATATATTATATAACACTTACTTACAAATACTTCCTTTAAAAAAGAAACATTTATATTTAAGAAAATACCCTGGTATTCTACCGTCACACTTAAATGTAGGTTTTAAAAAAACGAATATTTTAGAGAATGTATTTCTCATTTAGAAAACACAGGTAAATGTAAGAATAAACACTTATATTTTAGCATATACTATATATTTTAAATTTGAGAAAACATACTTAAAATTATGGAAAGCAGACACAATTTTAAGAAAAGACACTTAAGTACTTGTTTCTGTATGGTAGATAGAAATGTATTTTTCCAACCCACCCAGCCCTGTTTTTACTTTGGGCTAAAGAACTAGAACTGACTTTTTTACATGTTAAGAAAAAACACATTTAACAAAATCTTTTCATATTCCCTAAAAATGCACTAAAATCAATTAAATAATATTAAAATCATTTATGTTATGTTAAAATACAAATAAAATCTGAAAACACATTTATATCTCTAAATAATAACCTTTTAAAAAACATTTTTAAAATAATAATAAAACATTTTTAATTACTATTGGAAAAATAAAATTATATTTTGGGGGTATTTTAAAAATACAAAAAAAGTACGTTATTAGTTAAAAAATACAGTTGTACTTTTTTTTAAAAAGTTCAAAAACCCTTTTATTTAAAAAACAGCTTTGTTTACATTAATGAGAAAATGTGACCATTTAAGAAAAAAACTTTAATTAAAAAAATGTAAAAAAAATGTAGAAAACCCTTTTACATTAACATATTCATTTATATATAAAAACATAATGTCTTAAATGTTATAAAACATATTTTATATATTAATAAAATGTGATTTAAATTTGAATATGTATATATATATATAATTAAAATACATATATATTTTTAAGAATACACTTATTTAAAAAAAACACGAAATAAGTGAGTGGCTGTGAGTGTGTGTGTGTGTGAGAGAGATGGTGTGTGTGTGTCTGCAGAGTGCTGAGTGTTTTGTTGGAAAGAAATAGTTTCAAATAAGGTCGAATGTTGATTTCCAGAGAACTGAGTCTGGGCCACACCCCCTGGTTTAACTACTGTGGACCTGTAGGCTGTCTGCAGTGGTGCCAGGTGCTGCCCAGTGTCCACAGTTTGGTTCAACGTTGACGTTGTAGCTTCCAGGACATATATCCAGTTTTATTTTGGTAACCATGTTTAATGTTGTTACTTCCTGTGTCTGTGATGACCTTCACCTGCCTGAAGGTGTCACACCTGTCCCTCATCACCTCTAATTCTGTCACTGCTGGATGTGTGGTCAACGCTGCTGTGTTCCTGCTGCTGGATTTATTTCTCCTTTCATTTTTAGCTTTTTCCTTCGAGTCTCATCTCATCCGCTCCAGAATTCACATCTTTTTCTCCATGCAAGACAAAATGTGAGGAAACTGAATTCCGACTGTATTTCTAACTTTCATTTTCCCCACAGAATCACTGATTTTCTCTATGGACTTTTGTCTGTGAGCTAAAATCACTGATTTTCTATGTGGACTTTGGTCTGAGCTGAAATCACAGTTTTTCTCTATGGACTTTGGTCTGAGAACCTAAATCATTGATTTTGTCTGTTGACTTTGGTCTGTGAACAAAAATCACTGTCTTCTCTATGGACTTTGTTCTGAGTGAAATCTTTGATTTTCTCTATGGACTTTCTGACTGAAAAGCACTTCCTGTAACCAGTGTGGCCTTGTACATTAACTGTCTAAACACCCAAAGGTGAATGAGAGCAGGGTTTTCTATTAAGTTTGACTTTTGCTGATAATCCCGTGACGGTCTCTTAGCAACGTGAACCGACTGGTAATTAAAATTAGGACAAAGAGTGAGTCGATAAAAATAATAAGAATTAATAACTTCATGATGGAGCGAAATGTTATTCATAGAAATCAGGAAACACGATTGTGTCATATTCGTGTGTGTGTGTTTTTTTTAATGCAAGAAAAAACTTGACAAAGAAAATGACAAAGATTTTTAAGTCAGGAAAATTTCATATAAATGTACAAAGATGAAGACGTTTAAAAATGAATCTTTAACATGAAGCCATTTAAGGTAAAATATATATATATATAAAAATACTAAAAATACAGATGCTGTTTTTTCCAACATGTTTTTTTTTAACAAAAAGATGATCACATTGTTTTGTTTTTTCCTTAGCAAACGGCTGCTGTTGATCCTGAACGACTGTTGATGCATCAACTTCACAGCTGCCACCACAGGTAATTACATATGACACACACAGAGGTCAAGTCTAATCACTCATCACGGACAATAACACCTGATTGGTCCGGCTGACTCCACCCCCTCCAAAGGTCCTTGGTTTCCACTTATTGTCTCATCATGAAATTTTTGTTTACTTTCCACACATGAAGAACTAACGAGTTCTGGTTTGCGGTTCCTAGAACTGTTCAGACAAATCAGTTCCGCATCTGTGTGAAAACAGTTCCACTTTGTATCCGGTGTCTCTTGTCTCGGTCGACGACAACGGTACCTGTCGCTCCGTCAACGCTGATTTACTTTTACCTCAGACTTAACGTTCAGTACCAGCACAGTCGCCCCCTGGTGACCGATGAGTATAAATGCTCCTTGTCTTTGGTTGAACGTGGTCGACCATCTTAATTTGCTGACAGTCTCTGCTCCGGTTGTTTTTGCATGATGTTTGGAAATTTAATCTGAATCAGCCCACTAACCACAGCCAATCAGAGGACGAGGGGGCGGAGTCCTGGCGCTGCAACCGGAGCAGTTAGCAGCAAATCATTCATCAAACAAAAGATAGAAGAGCAGGAAACAGGGATAAAATGTTGCTGTTGTCCATGTGAAGCCGAGCTCAAGAAGAAATCCAGGCTTAACAGATACATTCATCACTAATCTGTTTATATTTAGTCTGGGACTGAAACCCGAAGAGTTGCTCCAACAGAGACAGTCACAAAACGACATAGAACACAGGTGATCTGTCAAAAGATGTTACGAGATCTTCAACATTTCCTCTCAAAGTCCTTACCTTTTTCTAAATTATGTTTTTACGTTTTATGATTAACCATCAGGCACAATCAGGTCTGTGGTTCAATTCCCAGCTCCAACATTTCAACATTGGACTTAAAAATACACCAGGACCAAGGACAGAAATCCACAGGAGAGAGAACACAAACTGATCAGTAGCTGCTGTGGACGTCGGAACACCCGCTCACACACGCGAGTATCAGTAGTAAGAACACAAACTGCTGTGGACATCGGAACACTCGCTCACACACGCGAGTATCAGTAGTAAGAACACAATTCAGTCGGACTACAAGGGTTAAAAAAAAAAACAATCAAGAAGGGGAAACAACAGGTTAAAAGTAGACGACCACTGCAAAAAAACAAAAAAAAAAAAAAAAACAGAAAATGATGGAAGTAGAGAAACAAAGCACGGTGACACTGAAGATAGAAGAAGAAATCAGATCAGGACACCAGTTGAACTATTCATAAAACTCCAACAACCGCTCATTCGTCCGAAGGATAAGATGCAACCAAAGAATACATTTGAATATCAACAAGAACGGTGAAAAAAGAAACGTCAAGGCAGACATGGTCCCTGAGGTAAAAGGCAGGAGAATTCTGCCATATCTGACCAAAAGAATCAAATGTAGAACCATAAACATTCAGCAACCTGGATCTCCATCCTGTAGGAGCGTCCACTCAGTGGAGACACGGTTCAAGAACTACGCCTTTGTAAAAAGCACACACATTTGTCTCAGTGTGGTCTGTGATGGACCGGAGAACTGTCCAGGGTGTGGCCCCGCCCCCAACTGGGATCGACTGCGGCAGTAGAAGACAAATTAATGAAACAATGGAGATTAGAGCCCATCTTAGGGACGTGACTTCAGGACCAACTCCTCGTCCAAACTGTCCACTGTGGTTCTGCTGAACTCCACTGTAACCTGCTCCCAGTGAAGTAGTAGAACTGTGACAAAAGTACTTTGGTGAAACACGTCCTTTTAAACTTGTTGACAAGTTTAAAAGCCAGAGCGATGAGCAGAGTCACCTTAAAAGTGGACACTCTGAGGTGAAAAAGATTTTTTATTTTTTTCCCCTGTCTTCTTTATGACCTAGCAGCAGAAAGTGTTCTCACCTCCTTCCTCTCCTTCATCCTGTCCTTTTTATAAAACCCTTCAGCTTTTGATCCGATTCCCAAAGGTTGACCGCGAGACCCTAATCCACTTTTCTCTCCTTACTTCCTGCCCGGGGCCCCTGAGGTTGGCCCTGAGGCAGCATAAAAGTCAATCATGTGGCTGTGAGTGTAGTCCGGCGGTTTCTGTGGGACCATAAAGGAGCAGAGCAGTGGCCAGAAAGACTGTGGAGCCACGGGACCCGAAGAGGGATCTTCTTGTTAGGCATTAATCAGCAGCTGGTTCTGTCTGGATGGTTCTAACATGGACTTCCTGTCAGTTTCACACATGTTCCTCTGCTGCTCTGTGCGTTCCGAGAGCGGGTGGGTTCAGCCCGACTCCAGCACAAGACCAGCGGTGACGTGTGTGTGTGTGTAGGTGTGTGTGTGTGAGAGTGGAAGATAAAAACTACCTGCGGACTGATCCTTTAGTACCAGGACTAAGTCAGTTCTCTCTGTCAGTATGACCTTTGACCTGGGGCGATTAACTGCTACTTCCGCTTAGTCAGTCAGTCAGATCATGAGTTAGTCAGTCTGTTAATTAATTTGTTGATCAGTTAATTAGGCAGTAACGTGACATCACCATGGTCTGGATCCTTGAAGGTCTCAGTAGATTTTTTTATTCTTATGAATGGAAAATAAAACACCCAGAGAGTAAGAAATGAGGTAGAGGTGAGAGGAGGAGCTGAACCTTCCCACAGGTGCCAGGTCACAGACACCGAGCACAGACCACGCTCTGATTGGTTGAACTTGTCCTGAATTATTTCCCGTTTTCCCCTGAATACCGTCAACATTGACACAGTAAGGAGAGAGGAACATGATGACGGTCGGACCACGGCCCTGACACTGTAGTTAGTCCTGCAGAAACCACACACACACACACACACACACACACACACACACATGAAAGAACATGAATACACAGCAACACATAAAGTCTCTCATTGACACACACATACACAAATGGACACAGATATTCACACACACACATACAGTAGATAGTCTCTCTCTCACACACACACACACACACACACACACGGCTTTGTTCTGGAGACTCTGGTTTGAACCTTTTAGCCTTGGTTGCTATGGTGAAAGAGCACAATGAACGAAACTGTTAGGACACGCGCACACACACACACACACACACACACACACAGTGTAAACTGAATTATCCATATGATCTTTCAGAAATCTAGGCACACAACGACAAAAACAAACATGTGGACGGAGCTGTTGACTCATTTCTATTTATTCCTTTGCTTCATCTGTTTTTTCATGTTTGTTTGTTTTTTTTTCCACTGCTGCTCCTACTGTCGCTGTCCCTTCTGCTGATGTTACTCCTGTTACCGCTGCTGTTACAGTGTTACACTGTCATCCATGTTACTGATCTTACTGATGATGCTGTGTCGTGCGGATGTCGCGTCTGAGGAAGTTGGTAGAGTTTGGCCTGAGTGTTGGCAAACAGGTGGAAGAGCAAGTCTGTCTGTCTGTAGGTCGGTCAGTCGGTCTGTGTCTGTAGGTCGGTCTGTCGGTCAGTCTGTCTGTCGCATCGGTCTGTCTGTCTGTAGGTCGGTCAGTCGGTCTGTGTCTGTAGGTCGGTCTGTCGGTCAGTCTGTCTGTCGGTCGGGGGCGGTTGGTCGGTCTGTCTGTCTTCCTTCCATCTCAGTGATTCTAAAGGCAGTAATCTAAACAGGACCGTGAACCACTGTAGTTTTATCATTTCTACGGTTTTTAAATATTTCTTAAACGGTGAAACGGTCACATCTACGCAAAGTGTTTTATCTGGAGTGTTTGGTTAAAAAAACCTCTTGGTTTAATGCTGGACTGAGCTGAACCTGGGAATCAAACCTCCTAGCGCTGCTGCTGCTGCTGCGTGCGCGTGTGTGTTTGTGTGTGTCCCGTGTGGACTCATCATTGTTAGAACTAATTAGAGCAGCAATGGAGCTGAGGGAGAGAGGAGATGTGAACTGGGACATACTCCTGGAACCGATCCTTCATTTATCAGCGGCTGTGGAGCCAAAGCGTCGCTCGCTCTGCTCCTGACGACGACATTAATATGGTTCAACGAGCGTCAGGTCCCAGGATGCAGCAGGAGATGCTCCTGTTTTTTTTTTTTTTTTGGTTTTTTTTACACTCACATTAGCAAATGTGAAGATTTAAAAGCTGAATCTTCTCCTGCTGCTCACACAGATGAAGGTCAGCTTTTGTTCCTGGGGGTGGGACACAGGTTCTGACTTTGAGGTTTCCTGCTCCTGGGGGAATTCTGGCAGAATTCCTGCTCTGATCTGAAGGTCTCTGCTATTCTCCAGTCCACAAACGTGTCAAAGTGTCCTTGTCCGACTGCCCGGAGGCTGAGCTTCACTGCTATCACTCCATTTTTCACTCACCGCCATCCTGCTGAGAACTCACAGAGGTGTTGGAATAAGGTTAGCTGGGAAATTCCTGGAAACCCCTTAAAATTAAAGTTAAAGAGGTAAAGTGTCAAAACAAACTTTTTCAACGAGGGGGACGTTCCAGCAGCTTAGTCAAAGTTAATGATCATGTGAACTGGGAATAAACAACAACTGTTTTAATTCAAATACCAGAGGTACAGGAACGGCAGAGCTCCCTAATAAAGGTGCTCCTCCCGGGCTCTTGTAAGACAGAAAACTACTAGCTGCTAATGCTATATTCCTCTCTCTGTCTGGGCCTTCTGTTTGTTTTGTTTCTTTTTTTGTAAAGAAGTCTAAAAACACAAAAAATGTTTTTGCTAACTTCAAGTTGTTCAGGCTTTTTTTTTTAGCTAAACGTTAGCTGGAGCTAACATTTAGCTCTGTTCTAAACCTTTTTTTTTGTTCGGGTACATCAACCTAAATCAGTCTGAGACCACAATATGTAGTTAAAGACTGGTCAGGCATTTAAGGAAGCGCCGACCACCATAAGGGACGTTCGTATTGCGCTGTGTTCGGGTTCAAAGGTCAAGGTCAGAGGAGAGCTGGAGGTCAACGAGTTTGTTTGATTTGGGGGGTTTTTATATAAATGTTAGAGTCAGTGTTGGAGAGAAGTTAGAACTGTAATCACTGATAACCTTCCTTCTGTCCTCATATACACACACACAAAACGCACACACACACACACACACACACACCCTCTCAGTGTCTGTGTCCAGATGCTGAAACCAGATGCTTTCCTTCAGACTGCAGGCGCCTCTGATGGTGACAGGGAGAACACGCACACACAGGGGCACACACACACACACACACACACCGTTTTTCTGTGTGTAATACAAATACATCTTTTTAATCACTTCCTGTGTCCATGTGTTTAAGAAGTGAAACTATATCTGCAGGTGTATTTTCACATCAGCGTGTTTTCAGTTTTTCCGTTTATTTTATTTTTGTCTCTCTTTTTAAATAATTCAAATAATTTAAAAAAAAATCATTTTGTCCTCTTCTTTTGTACACAACATATTTGTGAGATGTAGAAAATTTCATGTCCAAAGATGAAAGACAGTGAAGAACGTCACACAAACATAGGTTTGTGTTTGATCCATGTCACAGTATAATGAATAACGCCTCCGTTTCACGTGCAGTTTATTAAATCAACTCTAAAACTAATATAAAAATAAATAAAATAAAATAATAAAATAATAAAATGAACTGACTCATTGTTCCTTATAGTATAGGATATCTTTTGCATCATTTTGCTTGTAGAAAACTTTATAAGAACTCTAGATTTTTAAATCACTCTTTATTCCGAAGTTCAAGGAGAAAATCGGGGATTTTAATGCTGTGGTCCACCGCTGCCTCCTGTGGTCAGGAGTCTCAGAATGACCAATTTTAACTTATTTTTAGAGGCAGATTTGAAGCTAAGATTATAAGTTAAAATCACTGATTTTCTCCCTGGAGTTTGGTCTGTGAGGTGTCGGTGAAGTGCAGTGTGGGAGATTATTTTAAATTACAGAGACATTCATTTTCTCATATAGTCCTTTAAATACGAGTGTGTTTTTAACCCCAGTGAGAGCTCAGATTTAATATTTATAAAAAAGAATCAAATCCTGGTCAGAGAATCAGCCGTGGGTGACCTCACATGACCTCAGAGGTTGTCATGGCAGCATCAGCCTGAATTTTTACCCACAGTACATCACTGCTCCATTACAGTGCAGTGTAATTTATTCATGAAACCATCACTTTACAGACCTGTGTGTGTGTGTGTGTGTGTGAGAGAGAGAGAGAGAGGGAGAGAGAGAGAGAGAAGTGATGACTTTGTCATTTATGCTGTTCTACCAGGGATAAAACAAACAAGTGTAAACAGGAGAATGGCCATTAATTGATGGATTCTGGCATCTTTCTAAAATTTTGACTAAAAAATATATATTAACATATTTTAAAAGTACTAGTCCCATAATTTGTTTTCCACAACCTTTAACAATGTTCATACTGTATATATCAGGACTCCATTTACATGTGTATTTATTTTTAATAATCTTTTTTTCATTTCAAACTAAAACAATCAGAGGAATTAAAAAAAAGCAAATCTGAGAATTAAGTCAGAAAACTGTCTTGATTTTTTTTATTTATTTTTTTTCAAGCTCATTAGTTTTTTTTTTGTTTTTGTTTGTTTGTTTGTTTTTTGTCTTAGTCTAATTGGTGAATGTATAATAAACATGGGATGCATTTTTTGGAGGGGAATAAATATAAACTCATTAATAAAACATAAACATGTTTTAAATTTGGTAATTAAATCAATTTACATTTGAATTGTATTGAAATTAAACACAATGTAAATAGTTTAGGAAACACGTACTCAATAAAATAATTCTCAAACATTATAAATGTAACATTTTTATGTATAACATGTATAAATTAATAAAAATATCAAAGTGTATTTGGCTAATGTCATTTTCACCAAACGTTTTTTTTTTTTTTTTTTTGGTTCCTTGTCATCAGTCCTATTTTTGTGGAGATCCCTTTGTTGTTTAACCATTACTTAACTATAAATCATTTTATTTTAGGAATCCGTTTTTCACCCAAAGCTGCATTTCTGGTTAGTTTAGATGTGTGTTGTTTTAAAGTGTAGCAGTAGTTCAGTAAACAATGTTTTTTTTGTTCATTATTGAGTTAAGACTCATATGAGGCCATCAGAATCAGAGCCGTTGTGATCCTGACCTTGATTCTTAGTCCAGATTCGACCACGTGCACTTGCAACATAGTGCATGTGTTGCAGGCACGCAGGATGGGGGCACCAATAAAGGCCCGTCGCCATGGTGATGAAATAACCAGAGTAGGTAAATAACTGAGACAAATTGCTTTTTTTCCTACAAGCAAATAAAGTGATAAAAGCTGAATAGAAGGGAGTGAATGTAAGCAGCAGGTGAAAAAAAAAAAACACTGGTTCATGGTCAGAGCGGCAGCCGTCAATAAATCTCGCCATAATTATGTGCAGACACTCGGTCTAATCCAGTCATAAACCAGTGTTTATTCAATACTGAAATGAAACTGATTAAAGGTGAAAATGACTAATTCACACTCTGAGAGAGGCTCAGGGTTAATGAGGCTCAAATCTTTGTATTCCTCATTTAAACGTCTCCATTTTAGGCCAAATGCTGGACAACTCAGAAGGTTACGGAGCTTTAACCTCCATCAGGGTTAAAGCTCAACAGCAGTTTTACAGCATTGGCCAAAGGTTAAAAATAAATTGCATAATATATATATATATATATATAGTGTGTATATGGCTGTGTGTATATATATATATATTGTTGTTAGATATAAGCTCTAAGGGAGATGAAAAGTAAACAGTGAAGTAGCTAAATGTTGGCCTTTAGCCCACTGTACTTGGGAAAACAGTACAGTACACACGTATCCAGTACAAAGAAAATTTGTCCATGTAAAGTTTGCAGTTTTCTTCAGCTGTCCTCATATGCATGTAGCTAACCTTCTCTGGCCTGCAGATGTCGCTAAGTACACAGTTCAAGCCCTCTTCCACGATTCACACATACTGTTTCTTGTAGCATGGTTTTGTAGGATCCCGTAAACCAGGTTAGAACTCTTTATTTCCCTGGATGTAAGAAATAAACATTCAAGACAATTGTCTCGTAGCATGCTATCGCCAAACTAGCCTCTAGCGTTTTAGCAGTGCCTTAGGGGCACATCGTAGCGTATTAGCAGCCAGTTAGTGCCACGGTAGCACATAGTCCGTAACTTTGCTCATCAGTCTTCTCCGAGGCTAACTCCGTTACAAACAGTTTGATTACATAAAACACGTGTTGATGAAGACAACGCTGAGTTAAGCATGTTTTTTGTAGCATTAATAAATGTTTTCTCTCTTTTCAGGATTGACCCTCAAACATCCTCTGGTCAGTGAAGCTTCCCTGTACAACCAGTAGATTTGGTGAGTTGCCCCCCCCACTCTCCCTGTTTGATTCACCGTCACTGCTGTCATTACAACACAGAAGAAAGTCAAATTTCTAAACTTTTTTCAGTGTTGTTTGCTGTTCTTGTTGATATTAATGTTTAGCAGAAAATTGTACAAGCCTTGCAATATTACACATTATACTATAATCTAATCATTTAATCTTTATGTTTGTCTTGCAATATTACACATTACACTATAATCTAATCATTTAATCTTTATGCATAATTTATATATATAAATCTAATTCTAAAGTTGGTCTAAAAGTTCTAATATTGAATCTCCTTATATCCTCTTCTCATACTTTTTTTTACCCTATCTCCAACCATTATCTCTAATCCCATTGGTCCCTATTTCAAACCCTAATCTCTAATCCCAATTAGTGCTAACCCCAATCTCGAATGTAGAGTTCTTAATTGAAATCCTCTGTCGCTGTAAAATCCACACGTCGTCCTTGGACAAAGACACGGAGGCTGTCTGAGCAGCAGGAGCCCAGTTGGATGTTTTTTCTCTCGGAGTTTTCTGACAGTTTTCCTTTGTTTTGGACAGCAGAGATAATTGAGCAGGCACCGGAGTCTTAAAGGAAGAATCCAAGATTTTTTGGAGAAGACATTGGTGCTTCTGTGACATCATTCGTGTTCACTCAGTCGCTTCATTATTTCAGTTCATTTTTCCACTTTTTAGTTGTTTGTTATTCCTCCCTGTATCCTGTTGGAGTCTTTCGCTCAGCATCTCTCCTGCAGCAGAGGAGAATTATTCCTAATGATCCCTGATTAGGCCATTCTTTTCACAGTATGGGACAGAGCAGGAAGAAAGCTGCTCTGTAATTTCAACACGTGCAGTGGAGCCATGATTGTCATCAATAACACAAAAACAACAAGTGAGGAAGTCAGAATGAGCCGAATGTAGAATGCGCGTGTGCGTGTGTTTGTGTGTGGATACATGCGTGTGGTGGAGGTATACGGGAAGGTAGCTCGGCATGTCTTCTCTTTTCCAAAAAATGTAAATAGCTAAAAAAAATAATGTCATTAATTACAGTGCAATATAAATAGCTAAAAAAATAATGTCATTAATTACAGTGCAAAACCATTGAAGCTGTATGAGTGTGTGTGTGTGTGTGTGTTGGTTCATCTGTATGAGTGACGTTAAATCAAGCACACACTAACAGTTCGGCGTCAGGTCAGTGCCATCAACAGCAGCGTCATCATAAAAAAGTAGCAAGTAAATCTAATAATCATAAAGTAAATAAATAAAACGGTGTGTGTCGAATGCTCTGAGCTGTGAAACCGTGTCGGACATAAACGGTGTTTGATTCACAGTCACATTCATCCTGACACTGTTATTATTTTTTACATTACCCTATTTTATTGCCGTGCAGAAAACAGTCGTAGCAGCAATAAACCTCAGGGTTCACACGTTTGTAAATCTGACTCTGGATCAGTCGGGGCCTCACCAGTCCTGAACCTCATGACATAACGCACGTATTTAAAGGTGGTAACAGGGTTCTTCTAACAAACAACCCCATCTGACTGTGCACACTATTATTATTATTATTATTATTATTATTATTATTATTATTATTATTATTATTATTATTATTATTATTATTATTATATCTATTGTTGTTGTGGATGACTGAAGCTCATTATAATCATCCCTAAAACAGCACATATTTTGTCGTCTAATTACAGTAAGAAAGTGACATCCTCACCTTAAATCACGTGGCAAACTTAAGGTCCGCGGGCCAAATGTGGCCCGACAACACATTTTGTTTGGCCCGAGGGATCTTAAACAGCATTTGCCTTATAATAAAGTCAGTGATACTACGTTTTTTAACCTGGTGAATTTAAATAAAATAATAATAATCAATTGTAGAAACATTTATTAATACATTATGGAGGAGTTAAAACTATACGGTCTTACAGTTACAACTGGTCCTTCAAGGGGAGCCGTATTGCTGATGTGGCCCTCTGGTGAAAATGAGTTTTGACTGCTCTGCCCTAAATCATTTTAGTTTTTTATGCAGTCATCATTCATGTGAAGGAACGCCATCCTGAGATTTCTTGTCTGTCTACTGCAGTATCATCATCAAGTCTGTAATCCCTCTATTCCATTCTCTTCGGCTCACCTTCATCTCGGGCCTCCTTCCTATTTTCTTTCCTTGTGTTTATTCTTTTCCATCCTCTCCCTTATTGTATGTCCATCTCATCCCAGGCCTTGTCCAAGATGAGTTCACGAGTTCAAATCCACAACAGGGATTATCTTCATCTCCTTTTCTAATCCCCTGTTCTGCTCGGGATTAAAACTGTCACTGAGGGATGTCGCACAAGCGGACAGCTGCAACGATGTCAGCGGTGACAGAGTGACAGAGTGACAGAGTGACAAGCAGCCATGAAGATGTGAAGTGAACCGACAGATGAGATGAAGTTCACAACGTCTTCATGACTCTGTGCTTGTTCTGTGGGTAAAAGGCTGTGCTGGAGTTGGTTCCTCCTGAGTTTAAAATTATTCATTTGGTCTACGTCATCATCAGTCATTCATTCTCCTGATCCTGAAGAAACTTTTATTTTCTTTTTTATTCCTATATCCAAATACAATCATTTGTATTTTATTTGACATATGTTCCCTGGACTGACCATTGATGGATCGCTGTTCTTGAGCCTTTTGTAATTTGTATTTATTGTTGTTGTATCTTTGTTCCTTCCTCTTTTATCTCCTTCTGTCCTATTCCCTTCTGTCGTCTATATAGTGGCAGCAGCAGCAGCAGCAGCAGCAGCAGCAGCAGCATGGCCTGAGTGTTTGATTACAACAGAGAAATGATGGAAGTGAAAGAGCGACGTCCCTACTGCTCACTCAACAAGAGCCGCAAAGACCAGGAGCAACTTTATACTGGTGTGTCTATACAACCTGGGTCTTAACAATCACTGAGTCGTCTCTACGTGCACTGAGCATGTACACACTAAGTCTATACACCACTGAGACAGGTGTGTGTGCATGCATGTTTGTGTGTGTGTGTTTTAGGATCTTCAGTGGACAGTGAAGACAACAGTTCTCAGGGACTCCGGGTTCCCACACAGAAATCCTACTCATCCAGTGAAACACTGAAGGCTTTTGATCAACACCAGGACCAGACCAGGTTGGTTGGCCTGGGACGAGATGGAAAGAGAGAGAGAGAAGGAACAGGGAGAGCTAAAACTAATTTAACAGGAAAATATTTGACAGCTTAAAGAACATCAAGAGGCCAGTTTGTTTAGTTTATTGTTAGTCCCTGAATAGCGACAACAGATTACATGCTGGCTAAATTTTGTCGAGAAGCTACATATGGAAATGTTAGCTTTAGGTTAAATATTCGAAGCTAAGACTAACCAAGATGTTAGCTTGGAGATAGGCAGGAAGAAATCCCACGATTATGCAAAAATGTCAATCATAGAATTTTACAAGGTTAGCTAAAAGAATTAACAAGGGTTAGTGCAGGGGCTCAGATGGGATTTTTGAGCAAATGATTTCAACCCAATTAGTTATTTGTGTGTAATTCGGCCTTTAACTAGCACCCAAATACTTACTTTCAAAATAGCCTATGAGCCAATGGTTTGCACTAAAAATAATTGAATTAATTAATTATTTGAAAAAAAAAAACAATAATAATGAACACTTGAATGAATTATGAACACAAACCAAATAAAAAATAAGTTCGTATGCTGTACATGAAATTCACATTTATAAATGAAAGAAGTTGTATTATAAGGATTTGCCTTCGGTGCAACCAAACAAATCTACTGCCTAGATTATAAAATAGAGGAATAATAAGCATGTGTAATGCAAAAATACTATATATATATATATATATATACGTGAGCAGGAGTCAGTGATATCCAAACTCGGGTGCTAAAGTTTCCGACATTCATGCACAACTCGAATGCACCATTAATTGTACCACGTGTGTCGTACAAACATTACTCCTCTGTGGTGTTTGTCGCCTTACGCAGGGACAGTGGGGGGTGAGGATGGGGGTCACTATGGTTCTGAGAGGGTCATGTCCCCCTCCGTCCCTAGTGCCGTCTGCGCCCATGGGTTAGCCTATGGTTAGCATACGTTAAAAGCAGGGCAAACGTAAAGGTAAGTGACGGAAATACAACGTACGTAATGAGTCATTGGATAAGTAAATATAAGGGATAGCATTAGATAAACAATCAACAAAGAAGAGAAAAGGTTAAAAATAGAAAAAGATGCAAAGAGGCGACAACCGGCTTCTGCGTCTGTTTGTAAATGAGGACAAAGCACTGCGAGGGATATAAATAAACGCAACGAAGATTTAATAGATTAAATAAAAACATATCTAAGGTTTTTAAATAATACTTCACAGCTGTCATTAAATGAATGAAAACCTTACACATTAATTAGAGCAGTGACATTGTTGTGTTCACTGACAGGTTACTGTACGGAACCAACAGAGGACACAGGGACATGGTTCACCGAGAACAGGACGACTACGACAGAGCAGGTGACAGGCCACACGGGGGCGCTTAATCTTCCCCACCGAAGTCCATAGGGAAAATCAGTGATTTTAGCTCACAGGCCAAAGTCCATAAAGAAAATCTGTGATTTTAGCTCACAGAGTCTCAGTAGCCGTGCACACACTCTTGCCTCCATCACTAATTGTGCTTTTTTTTTGTGACCATACAGCAGCCATATCTCTGATAATCACTGATTTTCTCCATGGAGTTTTGTCTGTGAACTAAAATCATTAATTTTCTCGTATGGACTTTGTGGTGTTTGCGAACGTCAGTTCCCTGTGATGAAATATCTCATTATTTGCTTCCCGTTGGTTTGCATCTGAACTAAATTTAGGGCTCTAAACACAGTTGTCTTTAAGATGAAACAGCTGCTGGTGTAAATCAGCTCCTCAGGTCACGAACCTGCGAGACAAGAGCCACAATATTCGACAAATGTGTAATGACCTAAACATCTCATCATGTCTGATTTTTCACTGCCTGACTGTTTAGAAGCTCATTTTAATAAAACATAAGGGAGGCAGAGATTTTCTCTTCTCTCTTCATCTGTCACGGTGATTTTATTTTTTCATTTGTAATTTGTCAAAGACAAAATGATTATTTTTGTGTGTTTTCTGCATATAATTATACAGATTTGCATGTAATATAACATTATACTAGCTCTGTTTACATGGGACTTTTCTGTCCCTTCATCTATCTATCTACCCACCCATCCATCCATCCAGCCATTCACAACAGGTTTATGAATTAATCTCTTTCCTCCATCGTATGAATTTTGCCAGGTCAGCACTTCAGTTTGCGACAGCTGGGCATCTGTGAGCCTCCCTCACGCCGAGGATTGACCTTCTGCTCCGACATTGGCCTCCCGCACCGTGGGTTCTCAGTGGGCACGGGCCAGGACCTGGACTCGGAGACTCAGGCGGTGATGTCACCAGAGCGGGCCATGAGGCTGTGGGGCCGTGGAGGTTTGGGGAAATCATCTGGGAGGAGTTCCTGCCTGTCCAGCCGATCCAACTCCGCGTTGACGCTGACGGACACAGAGCACGAGAACAAGTCGGACAGCGACAACGGTAGGACTAACTTTTTTTTTTTTTTTACCTCTTTTCCTGTTGAGACCCCCTGTTCTGACCAATCATTTAACGGCTGCAGAGTGCGAACTCTCCTTCAGCTCTACTTTCCACCGTCGCCTCTCAATCCAGCTCTTTGAAAAGTCCAATTCTGCTCACAGAAGCTAAAGTACATTCTACCTCCTGGCAGTTCTGCCGTACGGATGAATACAATTTAAATATTCTCCAAGCCCCTCCGTTTTTTTTTTATTGTGCCTGGCAGCGCCGTCTCTTGAATCCTTTGTCCAACATTTCTCTGCTCTGCTCGTGTCTAAACACATCAACCTTCTCTTCTCTTTTATCTCCAAACGGTCCAGTTGTGTAAAGTCTATTTATAATCAGATAGTAACGGTTCAAACAAATGAACATTTTCTTTTTAATCAAGGCTGTATGTATTGCATACACACTAAAACACAAACACACACACGCACACACACAGATTACATTAGCAGGCTGTAATTAACAGATAAAACGCTGAGTCCTATTTTTTTTTCCTTTATTATCCTTGAGGAATGACATCCTGTTGTTAGATGTCGCTTCACTGGAGGATTTTCATCTGTGAAACTGTGTGTGTACGTGTGTGTGTGTGTGTGTAAAAGTGTAAAACCCCCTTTCATCAACTTATCTCTGGGTTCTAAATCTTTCTAGCATTTCTGATCATATATTTACTCCCTTTTTTTGACCAACTTTGTTTTTTTCTTTCAACTACTTGTGTTTTTTTGGTTTAACTAATTAAGCTTTCATCTCAGGTGACAACTAATTATGCTAAATTATGGCAGGTTTTTTTTCCCCCGCATTTGCAGCTGTTCTGGTGGAACCCTCCTCCACCTAGTGCTCCGATCTCCTTATTGTTGGTTTATCTTTTCCTGACTCATCAGCTGTAGTTAAAGACTGCATCAGAATGTCGAGACTAATGTGATCTGGAGCAGCAGGTCTGAGTGAAATCCACCGAGAAAAAGAGGAGGAAAGTACAGGTGTCAGGAGTAGGAGAGAGAAGTAAAAAAAACATGGAGGAGGAGTGTTGTTATACACCCTTGTTTGTTTTTAAAAGATGCTGAGAGAACTCAAAGACAGACAGTTCTCCATCCTGTCAGCTTAATGCCGCTGTCTCAAAAGCGGTAGCTTCCAGAAGATGTGCCACAAGGCTTATCAGTGGAAACAAATACGGTCCCTGCTCTGGTTCCTGGTTGCTGGGTCTAATTCACCAGATGTAAACAGATATCTGTGGATGTACTGTGGCCAGGTCTGTGTGTGACACTGCTGGAGTCAAAATTCTATTTGAAGTGAAGGATGAGTCACGGTTCAGCGAGTCCGATCTCCAACCAGCTCTGCTATAACATAAATAAAGGTCATCATTCATTTTCTCATTTATTCGCCTCATAAATGTCTGACACACGTGAGAAACGGTGTGCTTTAGAAAACTGAATTTATAAACTTGGAGATAAGGATGATGATGATGATGATAAAGACAATGATGATGATGATGTTGATGATGATGCTGGGGATTAGATTCATAATGATGATGACGGTGATGAATGTGACGTGATGACGACGACGACGACCTGTGCCCCTCCATACTCACGTGCGATCTAGATTTATTTCAGCCACTTGTTTTTCGCTGCACTCTCTACCTGTACATGTACTGTGTGAGCACTTGTGAGTGTTCATTTACTGAATGAGTCGTATATCAAGTAGTGGAGTGTACGCAAGTGTCTGTAACACATGTAAAAGGTTACAGTGTTAAGCAGCTTAGTGGAACAGAAGTGGATTACATGTGGAGTTGACACACAGTGAAATAATCGGGTTAATATTTTAGTTTGCAGTTTTTCTCTTTTTCCGCGTTCTCAGTCTTTTCTGTTAGAAAACTCTTTGTCCCACGGCGTGTTTTAGTGAATGACATGAAAACCGATTGATAATGCAGAGCTACTTGGTGGAGAAACCTGAACCTGGGATTAATGTGTGTGTAGTAAAAATCAGTACCAGGAACAGCTGTCAGCTGGAAGGTGGCAGAGACACAAACAGGAAGTAGACAGATGGAGACAGGAAATAGACAGATGGAGACAGACAGTGATGGATGGAGCTGTTTTTCCTCCCATTGAAATTCACCTGGGGTGAAACATCTCAGTGACTCCTGAAGGGAACTCGACAATCCAAAGGGGTCCGAATCTGGACGATGACGAGAAAATAATGGTATTGATGTTGAGAATGATGATGATAATGATGGATGTGATGATGATGATGACAATGATAATGACAAATGCTACGATAATAATGACAATGGTGGTTGTGCTGAGAATACTGAGGATGATAGAGATGATAATCATTAGTGATGAAGAAGATATTGATAATAATGACCTTAATGATGGTGATGTGATAGAGATGTGGAGGAAGATGAGGAGGTGAGCAAGATTTATAATGGTAATAATATTAATTCTGATTGAGACGATGGTGATGATGATGATGATGATGATGAAGATGATGTCAATGGTGATAACAGTCATAACAATGATGATAGTTACGTCTATGGTTGTGATGTGATGGAGGTGATGAGGAGCACAACAATTCTAATAATAATAATGATGTAAATAATAATGTTTGGAATAGTGATGATGTTATATTACTCAAGTATAAACTGGACTTATCACAGTCGTCTGTCTCTGCTGCAGTGACCTGTGTACAGGTACATGCAGTTTAGCTGTGCGTACATGTACATGTGAGTGTGCATCGACTGAATATGTCATTTGCGATTTGTAGTTTAGTAAAATCATGAGTGAATAAGTTCTGTGCGTATATGTATGTATGTGTGTGTGGGGGGGGGGGGGGGGTGTGTCCCTCGCTTGTCTTTCAACAGCTGCTTGTTATTCTAAACAGCATTGTTTATTTGTAAGAACAAGTGTGTGTGTGTGTGTGTGTGTGTGTGTGTGTGTGTGTCATAAACACACACACACACACAGTAAACCCGGTACCCAGTGAACTACAATAATTACACAAAAAATATGAAATTCATAATTTTTTTTTTTTTTCCATTTTTGATTTTCGAATCTTTTTCTTCAGTGTCCTAATTCACCACCTCCCCTTTCATCAGTACCAACAGAACATTGGAACAGTTCTAATGGCTCATTCCAACAAAGAGGACTTTTAAACTCTTGGATCCATTTTATTGACTCTCTCTGCCTAACGGTCCTGGTACCATATTGTAGAAGAATGGTCCTGTTTGCCGTAGCTAGCACCAAGGACCGAGTCCCAAGAACTGTGGGACTTTTCACACACAGCTTCCTGATTGTCTTCATTTCAGTTTTAAAAAACCCGAGGACAAAAACAGTTCCACCACGGTGGGAACAACAACTGTTCAGCTGGTTCATAAAATCGTTCACGGTGTTTATCTATGTGTGTGTGTGTGTGTGTGTGTGTGCGTGCGTGCGCGCGAGCTTGTGTGTGTGAAAACCCAAGGTGAGAACTTGGATCCTTTTTCAAATACATCAGGTTCAGATTGTGTTTCATATCTGTCACATTGTAATAGGAGAGTTGATAAAGTGTGAGAAACACACACACACACGCAGAACTACACCCCCCCCCACACACACACACACTCACATATTAGTTCTCTTAATGTATTTCATTTATCCCAGGCCACACTGTAAACGACCTGTTTTTATTTTGGTTTTTTTCTCCGTTATCTAATGAACGCAGGCTCACACACACACACACACGCTCTGACACACACTCTAACACACACACACACACACAATCATTACATGTTGAACAGTGTAAGAATCAGATCAATAGTCGTGCTGCTCTTACAGGATCATTTGAACAGAGAAGCAAATTCTCTGACAAACACGACATCATTAGGACGTTACAGTCACCTCTGTCTCTGTCCACGCGTCTCTGTCCACGCGTCTCTGTCCATGTGTCTTTGTGACTATTTGTGTGAGTCTCCGTCTGCGCGCGCGTCCATATTTCAGTATCTGTGTCTTTGTGTGTATGACCATATATTTCAGTGGCCGTATCTGTGTCTTTGTGTGTATGACCATGTGTCTGGGTCTGTCTGGTCCGTCTTTGTCAGTGCCTGTGTCTGTGGGTCTGTGTTCATGTGAGTCGCTGTGAATGAGAGCGTCTGCTAAATGCACAAGTGTAAACAAATAGAAATGTTGGTCTCGGCGTCCTTGGGCCTGCGTCTACGGTGTTTGCGTCCTTTCATCTTTGTCTTTGTGTTAACCTACAGTCTTCGTCATTGTCAACTGGAGAATTGTTTACTTCTTCATTGTTCTGCAGCGTACACAGGACCCACAATGAACAATCGTTGACCAGGTTTTACAGAAAGGATTGAATCGATACAAACGTCCTTTTTATAAAATGCGTTTCGAGAAACAACATGGTTTTGCTTTATTTATTTGTTTATTGGTTTGTTTGTTTTTTCTGTTCTTGCCTCCTAGTCTGTGGTTACAGTCGTCACTCCGTGTTAAGGTTGGTCTGTAGTTACGGTCGTCACTTAGTGCACGTGTTAGCCTGCAGTTCCTAGCATTTCAGTCGACTCTGGTCAAAGACGTGTCAGTGAAACTGCAGATATTTGACCAATGTTTTGAGGACGGGACAGAGGACGGCGAGCTTCACTGCCGTCTCAGAACAGTCGACGTCGGTGAGTCTAGATTTCCTGACGAAGCGGTGAATTCCACCAGTTGACTCGTCTGTTTTTCACACTCACGCGGTGACATGTTAGCTTCTCCACAAAGTGAGTGATAGTGTGGCTGACCTCAGCATATGGACCTTCCACTCACAAACTTAACACACTCTCGCTGCCACACAAAGACACATCGCACACATAAACACACACACATGCAGTGAGTGTTGAAGGTTTTTTTGTTTTTTTGGGGGGTTTTTTTGTTTTTTTTCACATTATTCTCTTCTCCCTGCTCTTCGGTTTGGTCCAGACTCTCACTCCCACGATTCTTCACCCTTCTCTG